TCAATGCCACATAGAGCCTTACCTTCCCTGCCGCTTTGCTCGTCAGTTCGGCTATGACCAACTATATGTAGGGAATCCAAGTTGTAGCCTGCAGGTTGAGGGAGGACTTATTGATGGCGTACGAGCATGGCTGTGGACTATGGTGGGCTGCACTGGAGCCCATTTTGCTCTTCCTTCCTATAGGCGTAAGCCGCTGACCACTTTCCTTAGTTGCAAGTGGTTCCTTTCCGCCTATGAATCCATAGGTGCGAGGAGCCTTTCAGAGTTACAGTCCGAGCACTCGGTCTGGGCTGCTATGATGGCTGCTCGCAGGGCTGAGCTTGCTCAGAAGCGGAGAAAAGGGTATACCAAATCTCTTCTCACAGATGATGAAGAGCTCCTTCCTACGGGTGACGACGACGAGACCTCCGAGGAAGAATATGTGGATGCAGATACCGACAGAGGAGAACTCGATACCGGTTTGTCCTGCTTCTTCGATTTTCCTTCTCCATTCTAATTGGTATAAACGACAGCTCTTGTTTGTTTAATGAAATGACCATTGTCACTTTAGGTAGGACAGTTGACGATCATGAGCCGCCAGCTCCCACACACGTTGAAATGTGTGACAAGCCTGTGCATGACCGACCTGTTGGTCCTAGGAGGGTCGGTGCCCCGAAAAGGAAGAAGACCGTACATAAGTCCCACGACGGTCAGGGTCCTTATGGAGTGGACTTAGGAAGCGCTGCCGATGGAGGGGAAGGTAACATTTTATTTTTATTGTTTTAAGGTGATTTTCTTTTTGGGATTCGTAACCATGTTTTATGCTCCAGGGTTCTTCGAAGAGGGCGAACTCCCACCGGGTCCGGTATCTCCTGGATCTGATAACATGGATTGCTTTATGCAGCAGATGTGCGACGCCCTTCATGACGGGTCTCTGGGCATCGATCTAAACATTGATCTTGGGCAAGTGAATAGTGTTGAGTCCACCGTCCCGTATTCAGGTATATCTACATCCAATGATACCCTCCTCAATCATGGGGAAGGAAGATCTTCTGTTTTTGCTGCAAGTATTTTTAAGCTTTCCTCATCTTCCAACATTCAGGTTACCCTGCAGATGTCGCGATGGAAAGGCCAGCTGAGGATGGAGCCTATCATGATGCAGGTTTCGAGGAGAGGGGGTGTGCTCCTGTACCAAGCTTCTCGAAACCCGATGCTGGCTTATTAGCTGACATGCTGGCTGAACAGACTACCAGGGGAACCGAGAGACCATTCTTTGGGAGTGATTCATTCATAGGTATATATCTGATCCCCTTCATCTTGCCTGATCTTTTGTCTGACTAACGAAGGATTAATATTACAGCACCAACCATTGGGATTAGCCCAATATCGATTCCTGGTATATCTAGCTTACCTCGGAGTGATGGACTCGCCGGTACGCATACGATTTAGGGATATCGTACTTCTCTAAGTTTATCTGACTTTTGACTAATATATGAGTGCAATCATAGGACCAGCCACCGGGACTGATTCTCTTATGACTCCTGGCATTTCCCAGATACCTACGGATGATGGACCTACAGGTATGCAGATGACCTTATCATCCCAATCCTCCTTATTTGTCTAAATTTTCATTTTGACTAATAAAGAAGTACAATTATAGGACCAGCCGCTTGGGCCGATACCCTTATGACTCTTGGCATTCCCGCTGCATCTGAGGACGGTGGGATTGCAGGTATGCATACGATCTTTTTGTCCCGATTCTCCTTATTTGTCCAAATTTCCATTTGACTAATACAGGAGTGTAACTATAGGACCGGCCGTTGTGCCTGATACTACTACAGTTCCCGGGGCTGAAAGTCTGCATAGAAGTGGCGTCTCCCCGCCCTTGCCGAGTGGTATGAGCAATCTGCCTGCAGGGGTTGATATACCCTCCATGACCACTTCTGCCGCTGTCTCAGAGCCTGTCGGACCTCAGCCTGAGGGGACCTCCGTTGGCGTTGGTATGCTCAGAGTTTGCCTTTGAATTTCCTTATCGTATTCGATAATCTACTGAACTTCTATGTTGTTGCTTGTAGGATCTCGATCCTCTCTATATGAGCGTGTCCGCGCCCTTTTGGTCGATACTGATCCTGACAGAGACATTTTTCGTATGGACCTCGGCTTCTTCACTGCCTTTTATAACGGCATGATCGAGAAACTTCTTCATAGAGGATACGGTTTCGATCAGTTCAGGCGTTCCTTTTCTCGCCACATGATGATGATGAGGGAAGAAGGATACCCGGAATTGGCCGACTCCTTCACTACCGATTTCGCTGCCCTGGAGTCAGAGATACGAGAGTTGAAGGAGTTGGAGGTTAATGTCCTCTCAGCTGGAGCATAGGCTGGCACAGTGGCGTGACCTGAGATCTTCCATCGGATGCGAGCTTCAGTCACATGAGAGCTCCATTGCGCAGCTAATGGCTAATGTGGCGAGGAAAGATACGGATAGAGCTGAGTTACTCCGCTCTTTGGACTCGAGCCGCGAGGAAGTGACTAGGTTGAAAGAGGCATTGAAGTGCGCCGAGGAATCCGCTGCTCTTATTGCAGATGACCTGGCTGGACTAGAGCGTTCTCGTGAGCAGGCACTCGAGAAGCTAGGATCCACCCAGGAGAGACTGATGAAGCTGAAGAGTGAAGCCGCGGAGATTTTAAGCAGTTCTGAAGAATCTGCTCGAGCTGATCTGCAGGCAGAACTCGAGCGGAGTTATGTAGATAGACTTTTTAGTTTAAAGTCTCATATCCTCGACCGCCAACTGCCTTCGAGCTAACGAGCTTTTTATTGTATGCTTTTGACTCGATCTATTAATAGAGACTCCGCATTTGCTTCTTTTGTGATCTTTCTGTATTTATTCTGAATGACAAGGTTTATGAGATTTTTGGCAAACCCCCAGCCATCAACGGGTTTGAAATGTCTTTACCGATTATCGTTTGAAATCGGACTAGCATGTGAATTATTAAACCCGTCTCACATGTAACGTTGTGCTAAGAAAATCGCTTTTCTTAGACTTGATGCTATGATTTTGAATTCATAGACTTAACCATTTCTTATAGGGAAAAGGCACCATGCACCGCGTATTAGGCGATGACTTATCCCTTCTTAGGCTTCGGGATAAAATTCCCCAGGTTTAGACCCTGGTGTCTTTTTCAATCGGCGAAAGACTAAACCGGCCATGTGTGTTAGACATAGACTTTGGGATTTTTGGCAAACCCCCAGCCTTCAACGGGTTTGATGTGCCTTTACCGATCACCGTTTGAATCGGGCTAGCATGCGGATTGTCTAAATCCGTTCCGCATGTAACGTTGTGCTGAGAGAGTGAATTCTCTAAGACTTTGTACTATGATTTCGAATATATAGGCTTTGCCCTTGTTACAGGAATAGGCTACCCGGCAATACGTGTTAGGTGTTGACTCATCCCTACT